TCTCTTCAGCACAAACAATACCATGTACCACATGTTTAATTACAGTCTTGGAGAATAAAAGAGCCTTAGGTGGAAGTCAGATTCTGGCCTTTCTGTGCTTTGGAGGTTAATAACTGATCTGGCACAGTCCTGGTGAATTAGAGAAATTCTAAAACAGTTTAACCAATGAATGACCCCTCTAAATCATCTGTGAGATTTAATCATACAGTCTCTGGAATCTAGTTGATGAAATTATCCTATCATCATCATTACTGCGGTTGGATGAACAACTACTTTAAGGGCTAGAGGAATGGTGGGAATAAACAAAAATCTAAGAGTAATTGCTTTTTTAGAAACCCCAAAAGAACAGGTGCCATTTAATTGGACTGTCCTAGGCATGTCAAGGAGCAAATTTAGTGCTGACATGTTATAGTATCAAGAATTATTGAAACAGTTTTCTTTGGCCAATAAACCAGGTTCCCTGTTTAAAAATTTTTTCTTTCTTTGGTATAGCATCCATAGTAAAACAATCTTCTGAACTAATTGTTCACCTGTGGCTAAGTGAAGTTTTGCAAGGATTTGAGAAAAATTTCTCTCACTGAAAATCAATCACTTCCTACTGAAGTTAATATCTAACCCAATAGATTAGAACATTATCTGTAAGCCAAGATAAATTAATTTGTTTTTCATAATGTATGGACAAATTAATCTCATTAAAAGTAATTGCAAATAGAATGTATTAATGAGGTCTATAATTTTTAACTTCTCTAAAAAAAAGCAAGATTTTCAATACTGATTCCACTGCTTATGACCTGTGATCACAAGTAACTATATTAATTTCGCTCTGCTTTTATTTTACTCACACACAAAATAGGGCTAACATGGAGATTGTTTTGAAGATTAGTCTATTTTTGCCATCTTTTTAAGTACTTCAGTTGTCAACAAAATTACCTTATCTTTATTCATCCCCACTCAAAAAAAAAAAAAAACCAAGCTGTCAAGAAAATTAATGGATGTCATGATTGCCACATCCAATGATTTCCTGCCTTCACTCTCTTGAGATGCCTTCACTATTTGGTAGTTTATTCTTCTTTTAATCAAGAAATTACTTTCCTTGGCTTCTTTGATAATTTTATCTTCCATCTTTCTTCTGACTCCACGAGAGCTCTTTTCTCTCTTTAAATGCAATAATTGTTAATGTTTCCTGGTCATTTATTTTTGTCTCATTTAACACACTTGTCCACGCCAGATATTACCTGTATGGTGGTGACCCAAAATTGTTACCTCTATGTTCATCTCTCTTCTAGATTAATCCAGATATCCTACAGACATTAAAGTTATCATATATCCCAAATTCCAAATTACTTTTATCCCCTTATATCACAAATGTCCTAAACTGAAAGCCTTTAGTTATTTTCTAATTGCCATCACAACTACCATCACCATCATTATCACTGTCAGAAATGTAATATCCACCTGATATTGAATGTTCACTGTAATCCAGCGTTCATTAAAGAATTTGGGAATGCCATCTTATTTAATCATCCAAACACTCCAGGTAGCAATATAAGAAAACGATGGTCAGTGAGGTTAAAGCAATCGCCTATAGTGCTATTGTTATCAGGTGGCAAAGCTGAAATTGTATCATCATTCCATTTGATACCCAAGGCTATGACTTTAACTAATACTCTTTATTATCTCTCTCACTGTAATTCATCATTTTCAATCACTTCCTAAGGACACCTAGTTATATCTCAAGTCTGCCTGAAACTTGTCTCATCTGCTTATTATCCTCCTAGTTCAGATTTTTATTATCTCACTTCTAAGCCAATTTAAGACAAACTTTAGCCAACTCATTTAAATTAAAAAGAAAGAAATTCCTTGCTTTTTGAGAAGGCAACACTTTTGTTAATCTTTATTTTTATTCTCTTAAGATATTCCTTAGTTTCAAGTGTATATGTGCATGTTTGTTATTTAGGTAAACTGCCTGTTGTGGAGGTTTGGCTACAGAATATTTTGTTATTTACATGGTAAGCATAGTACCCAATAGGTAGTTTTTCGATCTCAGCCTTCTGTTACCCTCCCACCTTGAATTGACCCTGATGTCTATTGTTTTCTTCTTTGTGTCTATTTCTACTCAATGCTTAGCTCCTACTTATAGATGGGAATATGTGGCACTTGGTTTTCTGTTCCTGCATTAGTTCACTTAAGATAATGTCCTTCAGCTCCATCCATGTTGCTGCAAAAATGTAATCTCATTCTTTTATTTTATGGCTTTGCAGTATTCCATGGTGTACATGTTCCACATTTTCTTTATCTGGTATACTGTTGGTGGACATTTAGGTTAATTTCACATATTTGCTATTGTTAATAGTGCTGTGATGAACATACATGTGCACTTTTTACGGTAGAATGATGTATTAGTCTGTTTTCACACTGCTGATAAAGATATACCCAAGACTGGGTAATTTATAAAAGGAAGAAGTTTGTTGGACTTATAGTTCCACATGGCTGGGGAGGTCTGACAATCATGGTGGAAGGCAAGAAAGAGAAAGTCACATTTTATGTGGATGGCAGCAGGCAAAGACAGCTTGTGCAGGGAAACTCCCATTTTTAAAACCATCAGATCTCATGAGACTTATTAATTATCATGAGAACAGCACAGTAAAGACCCATTCCTAAGATTCAATTATGTCCCACTGGATTTCTGCCACAGCAAATGGGAAATGGAAGGTACAGGATGAGATTTGGGTGGAGACAGAGAGCCAAACCATATCAAATGGTTTATATCCCTTTGAGTATATACCCAATAATGGGATTACCAGGTTGAATGGCAATTCTGTTTTAAGTTATTTGAGAGATGACCAAACGGCTTTCCACAATGGCTGAACTGATTTACACTCCCACTAGTAGTGGGTATTCCCTTTTCTCCACAACCCCACAAGCACCTGTTATTTTTTGACTTTTTAATAATAGTCATTCTGACTGGTGTGAGATAGTATCTCCTTGCAGTTTTGATTTGCATTTCTCTAACAAGTAATGATATTGAGCATATTTTCATATGCTTATTGGTCCTGTGCATATCTTTTTTTAAAAAGTGTGTTTACGTCCTCTGCCCACTTTTTAGTGGTTTTTTTTTTCCTTTTGCTTGTAAATTTGTTTAAGTTCCTTAGTTATCAGACTTTTCTTAGATGTATAGTTTGCAAATATTTTCTCCTATTCTATGAGTTGTCTGTTTACCCTACTGATGATTTCTTTTTTCTCTGCAGAAGGTCTCTAGTTTAATTAGGTTCCATTTGTGAAGTTTTGTTTCTGTTGCCATTACTTTTGGCATCTTTGTCATAAGATTGTTGCTTGTTCCTATGGCCAAAATGGCATTTTCTTGGTTTTCTTCCAGGGTTTTTATAGTCTTAAGTTTTACATTTAAGTCTGTGTTTTGAGATGGAGTCTCACTCTATTACCCAGGCTGGAGTGCAGTAGCACAATCTCGGCTCACTGCAACCTCCACCTCCCAGGTTCCAGTGATTCTCCTGCCTCAGTCTCCTGAATAACCAAGATTACAGGCATGCACCACCACACCAGGCTAATTTTTGTAATTTTAGTAGAGATGGGGTTTCACCATGTTTGCCAGGCTGGTCTTGAACTCCTGACCTCAGGTGATCCACCCATCTCAGCCTTCCAGTGTGCTGGGATTACAAGCATGAGCCACTGCATCTGGCCTACATTTAAGTCTTTACTATATCTTGAGTTGATTTGTATGTGGTTTTAGGAGGAGTTCAGTTTTGGTCTTCCGCATAGGGTTAGCCAGTTATCACAGTGACATTTATTGAATAGGGAGTACTTTCTTGTTATTGTTGAATTTTTTAAGGAACAGATGGTTGTAGGTGTATGGCTATTTCTGGGCTTTCTATTCCAGTCCATTGGTCTATATGTTTGTTAAAGTACGAGTATCATACTATTTTGGTTATTATAGTCTTGTAATATAAAGTTGGGTGATATGATGCTTCCAGCATTGTTCATTTTGCTTTATGATTGCCTTAGCTCTTTGGGCTCTTTTTGGGCTCCCTATCATTTTAGAATATTTTTATCGAATTCTGCAAAAAATGTCATTGGTAGTTTGATAGGAATAGCATTGAATCTGTAAATTGCTTTGGAAAAGACTGGTCATTTTAACAATATTGATTCTTCTTGTACCTGAGCATAGAAAGTTTTTCCATCTGTTTGTGTTGTCTCTGATTTCCTTCAGCAGTGTTTTGTAATTCTTGTTGTAGAGATCTTCTTTCATGTTAACCTTGAAAAGTCTGATGACTACGTGTCTTGGGAATGTTCACCTTGTATATTATTTTTCAGGGTCTGTCTACATTTTCTGAATTTAAATGTTGGCCTTTCTAGCAAGGTCATGGAAATTTTCATGAACAATATTCTTAAATATGTTTTCCAAGTTTCTTTCTTTCTCTCTCTTTCAGAAATGCCAATGAATTGGAGATTTGGTCTCTTTATATAATCTCATGTTTCTTGGAGGTTTCGTTCAGTCTTTTTTCTTTGTTTTTGTCTGACTGAAATGATTTGAAAAATTGGGTCCTCAAGCTCTTAAATTCTTTCCTTATCTTGGTCTATTGTGCTGTTAATACTTGCAATTGTATTATGAAATTCTTTTCATGAGTTTCCCAACTCTATCGAATCAGTTTGGTTCTTTCTTGAAATGGTTATTTCATCTTTCAGCTCCTGTATAGGTTTTCTGGTCTCCGTAGATTCCTTGAATTAGGTGACTTTCTGCTGAATCATGATGATCTTCATTTCTATCTCGATTCTGAATTCCATGTCTATCATGTCAGCCATTTCATTTAGGACTATTGCTGGAGAATTAGTGTGGTCATTTGGAGATAAAAAGGCACTCTGGCTTTTTACTCCAGAATTCTTGCACTGGTTCTTTCTCATCTGTATGGGCTGATGTTCGTTTAAACTTTGAAGTTGCTATCCTTTGGTTGGGTTTTTTTTTTTTTTTTTTTAACTTTGATACTAAAAGTGTGGAATACTTCACAAATTTGCATGGCATCTTTGCACAGGGACCATGCTAATCTTCTCTGTATTATTCCAATTTTAGTATATGTGCTAGTGAAGTAAGCGCAAATATTTTTTTAATTTTAGTTTTACTTTATGTATGTGATGCATGTGGCTCATTATATTGAGAGAATTAAGAGGCAATGATATAATTTGTCAAAAATGGAAAATAGCCTCAATCATGATTTGCTATTATGATGTCAATGTTAAAAATGTGGCATACACCTTTTATTGAATTAATTTGATTCTATTAGATTAGTAAATCAGGTAAAATAAATCTAATTGGGATGCAAGTGTCTGTACTTCTAATGAGGAAAAATATGCTGAATATAATCCAGGGTAAGTCATTAACTTTTCATATTATTCCATTACAATTTTATGTTATTTTATTTTTATAGATTTGGAAGTTACAAACACAGTTTTGTTACATGGCTATATGGGATAATTGTGATGCCTGAGATTTTAATGTAACATTGAACTCTTTAGATAATTTATTATCCTTAACCACCCTCCCATGTTTCGGAGTCTCTGATGTCTATTAGTCCACTCTCTGTGTACACATGTAAACATTATTTAGCTCCAATTTATAAGTGAGAATATCTGGTATTTGACTTTCTGTTTCTGAGTTATCTCACTGAAGATAATGGCCTCCATTTCCATTCATGTTACCGCAGATGACATGATTTCATTTTTTTATGGATGATTAGTATTCCATGGGGTGTGTGTGTGTGTGCCTATTACATTTTTTTAATCATTAATTAATGAGCACTTAGGATGATTCCATATCTTTGCATTTTTAATATTGCTGTAATATATGAGTGCAAATATCTTTTGGATATAATGATTTATTTTTCTTTGGGTATATATTCAGTAGAGGAATTGCTGGATTGAATGGTAGTTCTGTTTTTAGTTCTTTGAGAAATTTCCATACTGTTTTAATGGAGATTGTATTCATCTACATTCATCTACATTCTCAGCAATGGTGTATGTTCTGCTTTCTTTGCATCCTCACTAACATTTGTTATTATTATTATTATTATTATTTACATTTTATTATGAGCCATTCTGACTAGTGTAAAATGCTACTTTATTGTGGTTTTAAGTTGCATTTCTCTGATGATAAGTGACGTGGAACACTTTTTCATATGCCTGTTGGCTTCTTGTATATCTTCCTTTGATAATTGACTGTTCATGTTCTTTGCCCAACTTTTAAAGATTATTTGCTTTTTCCTTTTGAGATGTTCAAGTTCCTTGAAGATTCTGGATATTAGTCTTTTGCTGAATGCATAGGTTGCAATTATTTTCTCATATGCTGTAAGTTCTCTGTACACTCTGTTAATTATTTCTTTTATTCTGCAGGAGATTTTAGTTTAAAATTTCATTTGTTTATTTTTGTTTTTGTTATATTTGCTTTTGAGATCTTGGTTATGATTTATTTGCCTGGGCCAATGTCCAGAAGAGGTGTTTTTAGGTTTTCTTCTAGGATTTTTATAGTTTCAGGCCTTATGTTTAAGTCTTTACTCCAGTTTGAGTTAATTTTTGTGTATGGTGAGTGATAGCAGTTCAGTTTCATTCTTCTGTATGGGCCTGTCAAATTTTTCCAGCATCATTTATTGTATAGGGTATCCTTTTCTTAGTGTATGTTTTTGTGGACTTTGTCAAAGGTCAGTTGGCTGTAGGTGTGTGGCTTTTCTTGGTAATTTTTTTATGCTAAAGATGTTGACTAAATCACATGCAAAACATCAATGTTTATAGCATGAGTCAATGTAATTAATATGTAACAGAGCCTTCCTATTCAAAGTAATGCTTTTCAAAACTATCTAATAAGCCAGGTTCACAGTAACTAGTATCTGTTGAGGACTGAAATAGTATCAAAAATTGTTCTAAGCACTTTATATTAATCAAATTAAATTCTCATACCAACCCCAATCTGCAAATAAGAATTTAAGGCACACAGAAGTGAAGTGATTTGCTCACAAAGCCAACATTTAATGCCTGACAGTCTAGCTCCAAAGCCAAAGTCTTAAATTATCTAGTCCATAAACACATTTTTAATAGAAAGAATCAAGAAACATCTAATATATCCGTAGTAATTACTATTGCACATTGTTTTTTATTTATCATTATGGTTGATATGGTTTAAAACACAGGGTTGATAGTATGCAATTTGAGCAATCATGTAACTGGGTCTTATACTAACCTAACACATTACTAATAGAGACCTCTTATATTACAAACTTAATGACAAAGAAAAAAATGTGTGCTCATTTAAATGCAGGTGTAATTCAAATACCAGACCCTCTATGAAGAAGTGCTGCTAATGCTATTTCAGCAAAACAATGGAGAACAGATCAACAAACAAACTTATTTAAATGTGATACTTTCCAATATCTTAATGACTGATTCACAGATGATTTTCTCCCCTAGTTGCAAAAGAAAGCGCTAATTTTTCCCCAGGGGAAAACCATTCATAAGATATTACCTTGGACAATGGGTTAAAACTGAAGCATTCAGCCTTCTGAGATTATCAAACAGTGAAATGAACTGGTATACCTGCCCTCCATAAATGGTTTCAACCTCCTAGACCCTTAACCAATTGTGTTGTAAAGTGTAGTGTAGTAATAGTTACTGCAGATAATTTTTTCAAGGAAAATGGTCAAAGTACCTAGAAATTCAAACAAGTTAATATAGCTTGACTTTATTTCATTTTAATTAGTATTGCCCTGTGTTTTTCTTCCTTTTTCATTTTTCAAAGTTTATTTTTTTCTACCTTATCAGGAACATTTTGTTAGAGACCTACTTATTTTTCCTTTTTTAAATTTGTGGAGTATAATTAGAATTCCTCTTGTAATTCTAGTTCTTAGTCTTAAAGAGAAACAGATAGTCCAGATGCCAGGTAATCTATGTGCTTTATGTGATTCCTTGAGTGCCTCCTTTATTCCTCACTTTAATAAAATCTTAGTTGTTTTACATGATCTCATTTGCATTCTGCAGTCTTATTAGCATTCATCATAATCACAGAGATAAATCACCAAGATAAATCATCCCTTATTTCTTAGGTGCTTCATCAGTTTCCTGCTTCATCTCACAGAACTTTTACAGAACAAGAAAGCTTGTAAAAAGATTATCTTTCTTCTGTGAAGTCTCATTATATCTAAAATATTGTGAGCCTAATTATTTTAAGTTTTGGGGTTTCAAAGAACATGAAGAAATGTCTTTTCTTCATATCTTATTATGGGCAATCTTATGACATATCATTCTTAGACAATAATCTCAAAGTAAGAGGGGACATTTTGGATATAAAATGTTAGCTGAAAAATTAAAAAAGTGATTGTTGAAAGATGAAGCACAATCAATAACACTTGTCTAAGAGAATGCACTAATTTGATTTTCCTTGCAGAACTGCGATACTGTCTTGATTCAATCGATAGTTTCTTAAATGAGGGTTTTGTTACAGAATTTCTTAAAGTTCCCAACCAGTATGTGGGAATGATATTGAGCATTACTGAATAAATTTTCTTTTTAAAAATGATATATTACTTTCAAGAAAGAACTTAGACTTGGAGGTTAGATTAAGTTTTAAACGAAAAAAATGTTCAATTAGAATATCTTTTTTATAAAATTTAGTTAGCATACACATCTCAATATGCAGAGACCAAAATCTGAACATACACTTTGAGGAGAATTATAATAAACAGTATTGAGTGCATGCAGCATAATAATGACAAAACTGTTGCTAGAAATGAGGATGTCATTGAAAGTGTTATGTATTGTAGCAAACATTTCTAAAATGAAAACAATCTTAAAATTCATATCCTCAAAGCAGTGGCATCAACCATTACAGACATTATAATAGCAACATATGCAATGCAGTGTAATATGTTATCTATTCATGATGTTTCCTCAGTGGCTTCAGGAAAAACAGTTTAAAATGGCTTTGTTTTGATTCTCATCTAAGTGGCTGTGAGTTCTAACCTAATTTTTTACCTATTTGACTTTATGGCATAATGGAGACAGTTCAATTTCAGACCTCTGAACATGGAGTACTGATGAGAGCCAGTTAATCAAAACAGTGCTTGGGCAAAGCTGTACACAGCAAACAATTTCATGATTTCATTATTTTCATTGTTTTCCATTTTAAGCAATATAAGATAGACATAAATGGACTAAATGAAAATCAAGAGATTACAAGGAACTACAAATAGAATTACCATTTGATCCAGCAGTCTCATTACAGAGTATATACTCAAAGGAAAATAAATCATTCTACCAAAAAGACACCTGTTCTCAAATGTTTATTGCTGTAGTATTCACAATAGAAAAGACATGGAATCAACCTAGGTGCCCATCAGTGGTGGACTGGATAAAGAAAATGTGGTCACCATGGGATACTACACAGCCATAAAAATGGAAACCATGTCCTTTTCAGCAACTTGGATGCAGCTGGAGGCCATTAGCCTAAGTAAATTAACACTGAAACAGAATATCAAATACTGCACGTTACCACTTATAAGTGGGAGCTAAACGGTGGGTACACATGAACACCAAGATGGGAACAACAGACACAGAGACTCCAAAAGTGGGGAGGAAAGGAAGAGAGGAAGGGTTGAAAAACTACCTATTGTACCTACTGGATGTTGAAAAGCTACCTATTTGGGTGACAGGTTCAACTAAAACTAAACCTCAGCATCATGCAATGTATACATGTAACAAACGTGCACATGTACCCCCAAATCTAAAAATTTTAAAAATATATTAAAAATAAAGATGCAGAAAACAAAAAAAGTTTGAAAAATTCCAAAAAATTAAGCTTGTATAAATCATCTTAAAGAAATCAGTCCTAAATTTTTATAATATTTATTTCCAATCTTCTAGTTTTCTTCTGCTTCTTTTAAAAAATCTTAATCTTAGTAAAATACACCTAGATTATTTAGCTTTTTTTGTTGTTGTTTACCAACAATGGTAACATACTTTTTCTAGAGTTGATCTATAATACTGTAATTACCTGTAACATATAATTAAATCTATAATATATAAGTAAGTCACAGAACCATTTTTAGAAAAGTT